ACCCAGTCCCACCCACTGCCCTAGAACTGCAGTTCCAGTACCCAGTCCCACCCACTGCCCTAGAACTGCAGTTCCAGTACCCAGTCCCACCCACTTCCCTAGAACTGCAGTGCCAGTACCGCCCTAGGACTGCAGATCTTTCAACTCCACCGATTCCTTTTTTTTTTTTTCGTCTTTTCTTCCATATTACAGTAATAGTTCACAATGCACCTGGACATAATCCTTCTGGAAAGTGTGCCAACAAGGAAAGGATATTACCGGGGAACTGAACTAATAAGAGAAACACGGACAAGAAGAGCAAACCCGCGCACAACTTTGCAAGGGACTGAATTAACCTCAGCAGCTTTCGCCGCCCTTAGAAGCATATCTGCATTCTACTACTAAGATGATGGTCCTACTACAAGAGCACTCTACCCCCCTCGACGAGGAGATCTCTAATCTGAGTCATCCCCTCTCTCTTCGTTTCCGTCGACCTAGTAGTAAGGACCTGACATACAGTGAAGGCCCTGGAGGGTGGGAGACAAAGATGGGAGCTACACATCAATGAGAAGGGGACAATAGTGTCAGCACCCTTAGAAGATTCCGCATTCCGCGACCGAGACCTACCAGAGGATTGTTACCAGGTTCAGCTGCACACATATTAATAAAGCAAATGAAACAAGGAGCTGGAAAATTGAAATATTAGAGCTAGGTCAATTTTGCGGAATTCGAAGCCTTCGGCCATCGCTCAGCCTGCTTCAGATTGAGATAAAGCCACCCAGAACCCATTGGCTAGAGGACAGCGTCTCCATCAAACTTCAAAAGCAACCTCGATCTTCTCCTCTATCTGTAGAAGAACAGGCGCGGCGAGCAGATCTCTCATGCACCCTTCGGTTACCTCAATCTAGTATAAGATACCTGGACCTAGTCGGAGAGTATGAGACCTTTTAAAGCAATCTCAATCTTCTCCTCTATCCGTAAAAGATCAGGTTCGGGAGCAGATCTCTCATGCCCTCTCTCCGATTACCTGGATTTAGTAGAAAGATACCTGGACTTGGTCGGAGAGAGAACTAACATATGATGCATGGGCGCAGACAAAGACGGAGCTACGCCATCACTGAGAAGAGGACGATGATTTCCTCAAGCCAATCAGAGCCAGCCGTCTTCCGTCTGACTGTACACTTCGAACAACCACGAAACAGTCTTGCTACCCCAAGGATCCCCTTTAACAGCTCACTCTCTCTTTCCACGAGAGAGAGAGAGAGCTCCAGCAGTTAAATGTGGCCCAGGGACTGAGCCTTATTTCATTAGGCAAAGAACATCTCCAGAAAGGATGCACTGCCCTTCCCAGGGGAGAGGGGGACCGGGGGGGGGGGGGAAGGGGAGAAGAGAGGGGAGTCAGCCGACCTACCTCTCACGCGTCCTGTCAAGATTGACAATATGATCTTTCTACGGGGAACAGCCAATTAGGTGTGAACCAGAGACAGCATGAAGGGTTGAGGGCGGGGTAGGGGTAGGGGAGGGGAAGCAGCACAAGGGGAATATCACCAGAGAAGAGGGCAGGGAAGGAAGCGGTGGACAGAGATGGAGGAGAGGGGGGAGACAGAAGGGAGGGGATATACCCTAACAGCCTGTCAAGAGCTAAAACTGTCTTACCGTTTCTGATAAGTGTGTGCAAGAGCGACATTGTGGTCGGTCGCAAAAGGGGAAGCACTCCAGCACGGACACGACACTCTGTCAGAGTAATTTACAAGCACTTCCATCAACCTCAAGCACCTACCAGTATCCACCATCTCCCCACACCACTCTCTCTCCTCTGTCCCCCCACCCCTCACCGCAGCTGCCCTATGTAATAACGCAACTGGGACAACACATTCACGGTTCCTGCTCCACGAAGACAGCACTCCCTCTCGGCCCCGTCTTTGTCGTCGCCATTCGCATTTTGCTGAAGACGTCAAGTCCCTCGCTAGGAGAACAGCACCGCCGCAGCGTTGGCTGACTGGAGGACAGCAGCGCCGCAGCGCTGGCTGTTCTGGCTGTTAATCTATGTGAACCTTTGGACGACGTGTCAACTGTCCATTCTTTCGCTTGTGCCCTCCCTAACCCTTACATCTCAACCCCAAACTCCATGCCGTTCTGCTGAACCCATCCATCTAATGGTCCCTTCCTTGCCTCATGATCCCAGGTCAGAAGCACTAGCCACTGATCTATATAAACCTGTCATAACCCTCTTGGGGGGAAGAAATGAAAGACCGTATCCGAAATGGACAGCGCTGCCAAGCCAACATTGCACAAGCAATCGTATCCATGCAAGTCAGGTGCGGTCACTGTTTGACTCTGGTGTACTAGGAGAACAGCACCGCAGCACTGGCACCGACTGGCCGGACGACAGCACTAGCAGAGCCCTGGTTGTTAATCTCTATGTCACCCCTAAGACCACCTGCCAAATTTTCCATCCGTCCTCTTGTGCCCCATAAACACACAGCACGCCCTGAGCCCTTATGTGTCAAAGCAAGTGCCATATAGCTCAAGCTACCTCATCTTCATCCCAGGCCCTTACGTGTCAAACCAAGTGCCATATAGCTGAAGCTATCTCATCTTCATCCCTTGCCGGCCCGTCATCCCAGGACGAAAGCACTCAGTGCTGATCTATCTAAACCCCTGTCAACATCACCACCACCACCTTGGGGGGAAGAAACAGAAATAGAACAACCTGTCCGAAAAATGCATACAGAACTGCCACGCCAGCATTGCACAAGCAATCTTGTCCATGCACGCAAGGTGCGGTCACCGCTGATATCTATATTTAGCCTGTCAACGTCACCACCAAGTTGGGGGGTAAGAAATAGTAGACGGTGCCCGAAATGCTGCATGGCAGTCCGCCCCGCTGACATCGTGCAAGCAATCATATCCATGCAAGCGAGGCGCAGTCACTGTGTGGCTGTGGACGGCCGAGCGTGGGGGTTGGCGGTCTGCTTACGTTTTATTCCTGCATCCACGTGTCCTCATGCTGGTGCTCTAGAGATGCCATGTGCCCGAGATGCTGCATTGCGGTCCCAGGGCGGGCAACATCGCGCACGCAATCATATCCATGCAAGCGAGGTGCGGTCACTGTTTGGCTGTGGACGGCCGCGCGTGGGGGTCGGTGGTCTGCTTACGTTCAATTCCTGCATCCACGTGTCCTCATGCTGGTGCTCTGGGGATGCCATGTTGCCCGGGGGGGGTAGAGGGTGAATCAACTTGGGGACCACCACTAGATCCCTCCCAAGTACAAGTATTGCACCCGCATTGTTGGCAGTCCCACAGTAGTTGGTTGCAGAGAATAGGGTGATGAGGTGACCTTGTGCGAAGCGTTCAAAGCCATCCATCACACACTCGTGAGCACGAACAATCAGCTGTAAATCATTGTTCCTGCAGAATTCCATCACCCGATCGGGACCGAAAGACACTAGGCCAGGTCCACGGGCATTGGGTCGAAGGCCTTCCACACTGTCATTCTCTGTGGGATCAGACCAGAGGAGGTCCATCAAGATGACAGAGCCGGTCTCCATAGTCAGAGGTCTGTGCAATCCTTCGATCTGCGACACGTGGTGGATTGACCTGCCTATGCCTCCATGCATGCATATGATCTTCTTCTCGATGACAGCAGCAAGAGGAAGGTAATTGAACAGCTGGTTCATCCTCTGCCATGCCCAGATACCAGCCTTCTCTCCCATCCGCTCAATGCACTCAATCCGGAATCCGAAGAGCGCATTGATATCAGCAGCTTCGTGATTCCCGCGGATCAAGTGCACATTCCTTGGGTGCTCAATCTTGAGGGCAAGCAACAAGCAAATCGTTTCCAGAGAGTGCTGACCGCGATCTACATAGTCGCCCAGAAAGAGGTAATCAATGTACGTGATGTCGCCGGCCGTGGAAGGGCTTCCATACTCATCAAACAGCCGCATGAGGTCCCCAAACTGCCCGTGCAAATCACCAAATATCTTGACAGGAGCTTTGATTTGCAAGACCGTAGGCTCTGAGGCAAAGATTCTCTCCGACATCTCACACAGCTCCTGTACCTCAGTCACATCGAGGAAAAACAACCGTTTGACCGGAGGCCTCCATCCTCTGGGCTTCAGCAGCTGAGCGAGGACCCGTTTGTGCACTCCTTGTAGCGACACCTGGCGATCCAGCAATCGGGACCTCTGCCCACCGTCCATTGGCCCAAAGCTGACCCGTCTCCCCTCGTTCTCAAACTGGTCGATAGACAACTGCCTGACAAGGCCACCCAAGGGTCCGCCAGACTCAGCAGCGACCACCACCGCCCGGTGATGCAGCCGCACACCAGGGATCTCAGAGGCATGATTGGGAGCAGGGGAGAGTGGCGGCCGTGGGTAGGTGGGAGTCATTCGGAGGTTCTCAGCAGCCATGTCCTCTGCCGAGGGACTGTCGACGTCAATCTGACGATCCTCGTCACCAGGACCCCTGATATCCTCCTCCTGATGCACCTTTGCAGAAGCACGCGCCGCCTTCTCTGCAATCTGATTGGCGACAGCGGCTTCGGCTGCAGCTGCCTCCACCAGAACCTCCACATCTTTGGCATCGACCGGATGCTCTCTGATACCCACATTCTCCGAGCTGATGTCCTCTGACGCATCCCCTTCGAGAGGAGCGGCCACGGCGGAGGCCATCACAACAGCGGAGGGAGAATCACCTCCATCATCCAGTCCCGCATCCTTATCCCCATCGGACGAAGTCTGGCTGGACTTGGCACTGTTGGCATCGGAGTCAAAAGGAGGAGGCGTCGGGGGGGTTGGCTTTGCGGGGGCTCTGCCCATACTAGGTGTAGGTGGCACAGCCGTGTTGTTGGCGCCTGCAGGGGCTGCAGCAGCAGGTTGCCCAGCACCCTGGGCACTTTCTGCTCCTCCTCCTCCTGGTGCTGCACCACCCGAATCCTCTGCAACAAGCATGTCACCCAGCAAAACACCCCCTCGTAGGCCCCCATAAATATAGATTCGATCGGCGACGGCTGCAGCGGCATGGCGGCACCTCCGAGTGAGGTCAACCCCTCCTTCTCCGGCAGGGCCGTCTGTGCTATACTTGCCCGTGCGGGGGCTTGTCACAACCCCTTTGCGATCACACCAAACTCCCGCCGCTGTGTCCAGCACCGCGACGCTGGATGCATCCTCCACCATTCTCCCTCCTCCCAATGCTCCCCCAGAAACGTGCAGTCTCGCGTTGACGAAAGCCGCTGCGTGCTGGTACCGCGGGGAGGGCGAAATGCCGGGCGCCACCGCCCACTCCCAGCGTCCATCCCGATGCCTTGCCAATCCATACGCCCCGGAGAGAGGCGAACTACTCCCCTCTCTCCCTCCACAAAGCAACAGTAACCCGTCTGACCTGGCACTGGCCGTTGCGTACATACACGGTGGAGGGCCCTCTCCCTCCGGCTCCAATCTCCGCCACTCGTAGGGTTTTGCAGCAGTGTCCAGCGCCCACACATCTGCCAGTGGTCGCTTGCCATCATTGCCGCTCATAGACAGGAGAAACCGCTGCCCGACAAGGGCCATCACATGGCCGTATCGAGGTCCCGGTCCCGGCCCTTGGACCACCACCCGGTGCCAGCGCGGCTTGTTGCCTGTCAAGTCCAGCACGTGCAAATCGTCACTCGCCAGCCCTGCTGGGCCAATTCCCCCCTGAATGACCACCATTGTCCCGACTGCTGTGGCTGCGTGCGCAGCGCGCGGAGACGGCGACTCTCCCGTCGGCTGAAGCCGCGACCACGTGTTTGTTCGCACATCGAAGCAGTGCACATCTGCTGTCGCGCCCGCTAGGCGAATTCCCGCCCCCCCCGTTCCGCCCCCTGGGGTCGCGGGCCCGCTGCTCCCCTCGAGCGCAGTCGCCCCGCCGAACAGGATCAGCCTCGGCCCCACATAGCTCGGACTGTCCGGTTCCCCCACAGCCGCCAGTGCCGTCAGAGTGTGCCCGCACCGCGCGCCGGGGAACTCCTTCGTCGGTACCAGCGCCGAGAACGTCGGTGCGGGACGTGGCACCTCCATTTCCACTCGTTGTCAACAAATGCCACCTCAACGACGATTCCACACCCCCCAACCCAGCCCCCCCACAACCACCACTACCACGAAAGATAGAGAGACACTCGGATATCCTTGTTGGATCGACGAATGATAAGTCGCTTCGACTTCGTTGAGGACATAGACAGCCGACGATACGTCGCTTCGCTTCACTTCTCCTCTGGAGAGAAGAGCCGACAGGTCTCCAATATGTCCCTTTGCTGTCTCTTTCCTTCTTTACCCGCCGCGCTCCCCCAGAGCACACAGCTTTCGTCGAATCGTATGCCACGCTATAGCCCCCGTTCTTTCCTCGTCTTCTTTATCCCTTCTTCTCTTTTTCCCGCCCCCGGCCCTAACGGGTGAATAAGGGAAGGAAAGCGCAAAATCCCGCCTCTTTCCGCCGCTGATAATGTCGCCGATGCCCCTGCTTCTATCTCGGTGAAGGGATCGATAACACTCACTTCCTGCTGCTCAAGAGGGAACCAGACACACTAATCAATCTCTCTCTCCACTTCATTCAAAGGATAACAGAGGGGCGAATGGCTTCCGCCGGCTTTTGCCATCATAGTCGGAGCTAACGGAAACACTCAATTGTGATGTTACTCCCCCCCCCCCCAATCACCGAGTACGTTTCACCCCCTGCCCCGCCCTCCCCCCGCCCCCAACCCCCCTCCCTTCTTTCATTCAATCACCGAAGTCTTCCGTCTGACACATTAACTGTGAGCTTCTTACCCTTTTTCGAGTCACCGAATAATACCCCTTCTAGCCCCCCCCCTCCCCCCGCCCTCTTCCGATCACCGGAAGTCCTCTGTCTGACACATGACCCCTTTTCCAGTCACCGAATGCCCCCCAGCTAACCCTCACCCTTTCAATCACCGGACCGGATGCAATCTATCACCGGATGTCTTCTAACCCCTTTCAATCATCGGATGCCTTCTACCCCCCTTTCAATCATTGGATGCCTTCTACCCCCCTTTCAATGATTGGATGCCTTCTGACCCCCTTTCAAAATCAATCACTGAATGTCCTGTGTCTCACCCGTAAGCGAGCTTTCACTCGCTCCTCCCGCAGCAGCATACCTACCCCCTAATCCATGTCCTCAATGTCCGATTCTACCCGCCAAAAACAAACTCCCGCCAGAACCGATGAGCGTGCAAACCTGGGAGGAACGACGGACGATCCTCCCTTCCCTTTCTTCTTCCCTAAACACCACCTTCACGTCTCAAAAGCACCTGCAGGCCCGCGCCGCAGGACGGGCGGACGAGAGGAGGAATCGACGAGCGGACACACAAAGGCGGGGCGGGAGTTCACAGGGGGGGACCACGTGGTAAGTAAGGAAATGACAGGCGCCGAAACCGGAAAAACGAAGTGTATGTAGGGCAAGACGCGGGGGAATCGGGCGGGGAGAAAAGTTGGCATTCAACAAGGGGGGGAAACCTAAATCACCTCCGATGTCTCCTATTAGTAGCCGATGATGGATGACCCTAAAACTTCCCCTCAGCCCTCAGCTGCTCACTCTCTCTCCGCCCTCTTGCGCCTTCTTCTCCGGCTCGCTAGTGACGTGCCCGTCTCCCGCCATGTTGTCCTTCGATTCCAGCTTCAGCTACTCTTCCCCGCGTTCCGTTTCACTTCTCCCTGTGACCTGCTGCCCTCGTTTTCCTCGCCGTTGTCTGCTTTGTCCCAACTCCCTGCCCTCTCTCACTCTCCCCTCCCCTCC